CAGGAACAAACAGCGTCAAGTCCGGCAGCGCCTCGCTCGCCTCGCTCGCCCCGCCGTCTCATTTACATGATCGATCAGCCGGCAGTCGACGCGTAGCAGCAGTAGCAGACTCGGCGCTCTGTCTCTCTCGCACTCGCGGGGCGGCCCGTAGGGCCGTAAGGGTACGAGAGGGACGGCGCGACGAAAAGCGGTGTTCGGAACCGCTTTGCAGCAGCGCGGAGGCCGGCAGCGCCTGTCAATCGCAGGACGTACCGATCCGGTATCGGAGAGCGGCGCGCCGAGGCTCGCTCACTGGGGCAGGACAGCGGGAGTGGTGGTTGCGTACCCGTGTACCGCCTGGGGGCCTGGGGGAGGGCCCGTCTGGACCAGCCGCACCAGCCGACGGCCGCGCCGTGAGATATTGTAGCTCAGAGAGAGAGAGAGAGAGAGAGAGAGAGAGAGAGAGGGAGGGAGGGGGGGGACCCCTCGCGCGACCCGCCAGAGGCCAACGGCTGCGCGAATTCCTCTCCACGCGCCCGCCACACGCGGCCGCGCGCGCGCGCGCGTACACACACACACACACACACACACACACACACACACACACACACAACGGCGTGATGAACCCACTTGCAGTGCAGCTTTGGATGCGCGCTTTCGTAAGAAGCCGTCTCGGCGCCTCGCCCCGCCCTGCCCCGCGCCGAACATCTCAAGTTCTCGTTAGCTCAGCATTCAGCTACAAGTGCGTAACTGCGTCGTACTCGCCCATAGAACGCGCTGAGTCGCCGCTCGGTCTGCGCGAACCGCTCGCCGGTTCAAAGACATTCAATTGTCAGTCGACTGGCCGAACTTCACCGCAAAGAAAATACTGGCGGCCCCGACCCGATTCCGTGCGGGGCATGCCCCTTCCCCTTCCGCCGGGCGCGGTGGCACGCGGTGGCAATCGGTGGCTTGCAGTGGCACGCCGTCGTCCAGGCTTGTTTTTGCAGGTGTAGCGTTTCCGCTAGCTGGGGACTTTGGCATAAGAAATCACAGACGTCACCACTGTTTTGGCTTTTATTTTATTTTTTGTGTGGGGTTAGGGTTAGCTTGGCTGCTGTAAAATAAACAACCGTGAAATCTCCACCACTGCAGCACCCCCAAAAATGTATGGATGACTCGGTGTCCTTATCCAGCCACGTTTCTCCCTAAACTCGCCCTCGTCGGGCAGGGCACGCTCGTGATCACGATTTTGTCATTTTGTTGTAATTGATGTTGTTTTTCGCAGCGGGTAAGGGAAGAGGGAAACATTTCTGGCTTTCTCGACGCTATGCGCGCGGTTTATTCGCTTGGAGGCGGCGCGGCGTCGGATAGCGGAGCCGATCGCACACGCGCTCTGTCGCGTTCGCCGACCCATGCGCCGCGCCGCCGCGCCGTGCGAGAGACGGCTCGGAAAGGGGGAGGGGGCGTCCTGCCATTCTGCAAGGGTTGCAGCCTATACGGAAGTAGGCGTGGGGTCGGCGAACGTGCCATCGGCGTATAAATAGAGGCGATGGACGGCGCGGAGCGGGGTCAACGAAACGCTGGACAGGCGCAGCCGAGAACCTTCCAGCCAGTCCTTGGAAATGGACTGCAAGCCGCAGGGCCCGGGTTCGAATACCCATAAGTATGGCTTCTTCCTCGCCTTTTTTCCCGCCACCCAGGACGTCGAAGGCTTTTCATTGCCGGCGATGAGTCGCCCTTCCGAGGCCCGTGCAATCGGCCGCGGCGAAGTGCACCGAGACGGCCAGGCCGCCCCGCCGCCACCCACTCGGAGCACCCTCGGAATCGCTTCTTCTCCCCGCGTCGCCGCGTCGTGGACCCGGACCGCTTTTTGAGTTATGGCCGAAACTTTATTCTGAAGCGGGGCCCGTTAACTCATTCACCCGCGTCGCGACGCCCCTCGTGTTTTTGTTGTTGCCATTCTTGTTGTTGTTGGCAGGGATGGGCGGGGCGGCCGGGTGGCACCCTTTCTTTTCGGGAAGCGGAAACTGGAAACCCACAAATCCGTGCGAGGATGATGCGTGGAGTCGCGCAGGTGCATCCCGGCGGGCTGCGATTCCGAAACAGCAACGTCGCCCCGTCTCTCTCGAACTCGTGGGGCGTTCCGTAGGGGTGCGAGAGAGACGGGCCGACGAACCGCCAGAGCAGTCCTCATCTGTCCTCGGGCCATTGTGCCGGTCGGGAAATTATGACGGGCTTCCTGCCGGGCTCATCCACGGCCGGCTATAGGCCCGGCGGCCCCGTGGCCCGCCCCGCGCATCACCGCCGGGACGGCCGGGACCAGGATCACAGTCAATCCGTCCGTTCCACGGCGGTGTTCCACACTATTCCACATTCCGGAGGACCAGGACGCCGCCGTCGCCCCTTTGACTCGGCCAGCGGGGTCATCGCCGTGGTTATGTCGACTTTGACGTGACGGACGCTTCCTGCTGGCGGGGCCCAGGCCCAGAGCGCGTAGCGCGGACCACCACCAACGGCTTGACATAAAACGTCCTCACATCGCCTCGCGCCTCAACATTCACGGCCTGCGCCTGGGCACGGCCGCGCCACGATAAAAGGCTCACATTTTACTCCGCTTTAACGCGCACCTTTCCCGGCGGCGCGTCCGGCGCGGCCACGCGAGTCACTCGCAGTCGCTTGCGGCGACGCCCCCCGCTTTATCACGGCGGGCAGGCCCCAGCGCCCCAGCCTGGCTTGGCCCGGTCTGGCCCCGCCCACCCGGCCCGGGCCCCGCAACGCCAGCCCGCCAAACGGCCACGCAACGCGCTTCGATGCTATCGCCCCGGTCATTTTCCGCCGCGGCGACCGACTGTCTCTTTCACACTCCCCGGTGTGCGAGAGAGGCGGAGCGACGCGGCACTGTCCGGAATCGGATTGCCGCGGCGGTTACCGCGATTTTTGTTGACATCCGCGCGGACAGCATCTCTGCACTGCGGAGTGCGGCGCGGCGCTTTCTCACATTACCGCGTGCAAGCAGAGCAAGCAGAGCACCTCGTTGTGCAACCCGTCGCCGAGAGGCTGGCCAAGGTGCTGGCGGCGGGGAGGCCTGCCTGCTGCGCTGCGCGAGGGTGGACCGCGCCACCGCGCGTCGTTCGACGTCGTTGCGTCAGGGCTCCATCCACAAAAGGGCTGGGGTGGGGGTGGGGGCGGGCAGGACCTGTGCAAGCTGCGGCTGCGGCCTGCGGGGCGGGGGTGGCGAGGTGACCATGTGGGAATGCAGGGCAGTGCAGGCGGTGCAGGTCGTTCTCACGCTGCTCCTGGCGGGGGTGGGGTGGGGCAGCACCGGCAGTCCCGTGGGGCAGGCCGGGCAGGCCCTGCAGGCCCTGCAGGCCCGGGCGGCACGCAGAGACAATGCCACGACCGATGCGGCAATCTGGCCATCCCAGGTGCGCGGGGTGGCTGTCGCGGAGCTCTGCCGAACAAGGGCCGCGCCGGCCGCGCCCTGCGTGCCGGAAAGGGCGCGAATGCGGTGCACGTTGAAGGGTGACCGAGTTGAACCGCGTGGGAGGTCAAAGGGTCAAAGGGCTGCTGCAAGAAAACGCGCCGCGTCGGCCTGACTACCGTAACTACGTGCGCGCGCAGCCGTCGACAAGAAGTGTGGCAAGCTGTCAAGTTTGAGGTCCACGGCGTCCGCGGAGTCCAGGAGCGCCGCACACGCACCATGCACTTTCGACACGCGGCGGGCGCGAGCACCGCGTACGCAGGGCGGGGGAGGGGGAAGGGGAGGGGGAAGGGGAGTACTAAAAGTAAAGGCGTGCGGGCCATGCCGTGCAAGATGACACCACCCTCCCCCCGCTCCGCCCCCCGCCCCGCATCGCCACGCATGCCTGCACAGTGCAGCACACACGGTACTCCCCCCCCTTTTCCTCGAGCAGGCCATGCCAGGGGGCGAAGTAGGCGAAGCAGCCAGCACATTCCCACGGTCTGAGCTGAGGAGGGGAGGGTCGCCACCTGCGCTCCGCACGCCACGCCACGCCACAGCGCTACTCACCCCGTCGCACACACGGACACGGCCCGGGTGGGGCGAGGCCGGGCGAGGCCTGCCCGCCAAGCGTGTGGTTCGCGTGCAGGGAGCGTGACTGGGTGAACGCCGTAACTACACGCACGCCGATGGTTCTTTCTCTCTGAAACGTACCGACGGGGAGGTGAGGGTGGTCCGTGGCAGGGCGTCGCAGGGTGGTGCTTTTTGCTGGCGCCACGCATCTGCGGGTTGCACGGCCTCATCGCGACTCGACTCTCGGGCTGGGTGCTCCAGTGTATGAGCTTTCAGCTGAGCGTCAGCGACAACGTGAGGACACTGAACGTGACGGCAGAGTCCCTTTCCCGTGTCCGGCGTGACGCAGTCGGCGCAGTCCTCAGCCCGGCTGGAACGGCACCCTTCCCTGCCTCACCGTGTCGCCGGGCAGGCCGGGCGGGCAGGCCGGGCAGCCAGGCCGGCAAGGCGGCGACCCCCAACCGTTTTCCTCAATCCCCGTTTCCGAGGCGGCCTTCTTCTCGTTCGCCGTATTATTCTTATGCCGATGAGGCCGCGTGCAGCGCAGCCAGCGGAGCACCATCAGTCAAGACGGGGACGGGGGGCGACGGCGAGGGTAGCGGGCAGGGGTGCGCGAAAGCGGGGTGGGTCGGCCAGCAGCCGGGCTAAACCAGGCGAGAACCCCTCTACCCCTTCCCTCTCTCTAGACTCGCGGCAAGCTGGAAGGCTGGCTGACGGGAGAGGGGGCTCTATGGGCCCCAAGGCTGGGCCTATGGCTGGCGGTGGCTTGGCATGGGAGGGGCGTCGTAGGCGTCGTCCCGTTCGTGGAGCGCGGCGCCCGACTCGGTGCCCCGGGCCCCCTCCTGGCCTCCACGTCGCCGCCCTTCCCCAGGACGACACGGCGCGGGGGAACGACAAGTGGGGCGCTGGCTGGCGGCCTGGCGGCGGCGGCGGCGGCGGCATGCTGGCGGGGGCAGGTCCGGGGTAGGGGGAGAAGGGGAGTCGCAGCGGGAGCAGCACCGGCCGGCTCCGCGTCGCCGTCTGGCCGGGACGGTTCCCAGAGGTTCCCAGGGGAGGAGGAGGAAGGAAATCAGTTGCCGAGCTGCGTTCCGACGGTGCGGTCAGGTTGTGCGCTGCGTGCTGCGCTCAGTGTCCGTGGCTTCGAGTTGTCGAGTCGGGCAGCGGCACGCCCTCCACCTCGTACTCATGGATGAGTAGTGCAGTGCCAGTGGTTGTGCCCCAGTGACGTGTGTGCTCTGTGCCTCCGAGTGACGAGTGACGTGCTAGTGACGTGTCAGTGACGTTCGGCGCCCAGGATACTTCCCTTCACACGCATGACGGCGGGCGAGATGCTCATGATGGCTTCGCTGAGGGATCCATACGCGGCGGCGGCGGCGGGCGTGGGCATGCTGGCCGCGAGTCAGCTGGCCCAGCTCAACCAGCTCATGATGCAGCAGCAACAGCAGCAGCACGCCCAGCAGCTGCAGATGCAGCAGTCTCCACTCAGCCCCTCACAGCCCACCTCCTCCATGCACATGGGCGGCCCGGCCATGGGCACCCCCCTGGGCACCCCCCTGGGCATGGGCTCGCCTCCCGAGTGCCAGTCGCCGCCCATCTCCAGGACCTACACGTACAAGAAGGTGAGCAGACATTGCCGCGCGCTGCGCCGACCGCACCCTGCACGGGGAAGCACCCTCCCGCGCGCTCCGCCGCTCCGCGTCGTCGGCGACCTGTTGCCTGCTGCCTGTTGGCGCGCAGAAACAGTGCCGCCCCCGCCCCGCGTCCTCGTCAACGTGTCCCTCGTCAGGCCAAAAACCTGGTTGTGCTGACGCCGGTTGTCGGGTGCTTTTCGAACCCTGCGCACGCGGTGCCGTTCGCCGTCTGTGACACCTTCATTTTGGCGCGGGTTTCCCCCTCCGCGACGGCCGCGGCGCCGACGCCGCCGTCGTGCTGACCGTGACGCTCTCCCTTCAACGCCACCCTCTGCCCACAGGTCACCAAGCCCCTGCTGGAGCGCAAACGGCGCGCCCGCATCAACCGCTGCCTGGACGAGCTCAAGGAACTCATGGTCGGCGCGCTGGAGGCCGAAGGCGAGAACGTGAGCAAGCTGGAGAAGGCCGACATCCTGGAGCTGACAGTCCGCCACCTACAGCGCATCACCAAGCCGCGCGACGCCGCCGAGGACGCCAGCCGATTCCAGGTAAATTCGAGTTCTTGGGCGCAGTTTGATTCTGAACAATAGCTACTTGACGTGGCCCTGCTGGCGGAGTAGTCACCAGTTTTTGGCATGTTCCGATGGCATATCGGCTGGTCATTGCCTCGTCACATTTTTCACGTGCTCCTTCTTATGGATGGCACCGTATCTGTAGAGTTCAGGTGGCGGGAATGCGAACACCAGACAGTCTCAAGATCAGTTGTGGTCTAGCATTTCAAGTCAAGTCGAGACAGTGACGAGTCGCGCCCCCCTCCACTGGAGATGTAGGATGGGTGGCCTGCCCTCCCGGCGCTGTGCGCGCGCGCGCGTCGGGCAGCCTCGGGCTGCCCGCACAAAAAATTTGGGCATTTTAAAAGTTTCGGCCCAAGACGCTAAAATACCATGATGCCTTAGCTCTTTTTTCAACAAATATGGTCGACCACCTCAAATTTGTCTGAAAAAAAAACGTTGCTATGGATCTAAGAAACAGTGCCCGGTGCCCAATGGTCTTTGACACATTTTATTTGGTGTGGCAATTACTTTTACCGCCTTTCCGACCTGATGTAGCGTGTATTTGTTTCCGAGTTCTAATGTACCCTTCTTTTCCCCTGCAGGCGGGCTTCAGCCAGTGTGCCAGCGAGGCGTGCCACTTCTTGTTGGGGCTGCCCGGCCTGGACGAGGCCGTGGGCCGGCGCCTCGTGGCGCACCTCGGCCAGGTCGTGACCCAAGTGGGCCTCGGTGGCCTGGGCGGCCTCCCCCTCGGCCAGGGCCTGGGCGGTGCCCTGGGCGGTGCCAGCCCCCCGGCCGCGCTGCGCCCTTCCTCGGCGGGCTCCGTGTACTCGCCGCCCGCGTCGCCGGACCAGCTCGGTGGCGGCCTGGAGCAGCACGAGCAGGGCGCCGGCCCCACCGCGGTGCGCACTCCCTCACAGCTAGCGCAGCTCGCCCACCTCGCGAGCGCGGCCAGCCCCTCCCTGCAGTCGGGCCGCGGCTCGCCGCGGGACGACGCCGAGGGTGAGGTGTCCTCCACGTCCACGTCCTCAGGCGGCTGGCTGCACGCGCGCGGGCGGGCCTCCAAGCGGCCGCGGTCGCAGCGGGGCTCCGAGGCGGAGGACAGCGAGGACGACGACGTGGACGCTGACTCGGACGCACCCGTCAACTACACCACCGAGGCGCTGAGGAGGCAACACAGCAAGCTGCCCCGGTACCAAGACGTCGCCTTCGACGCCGTCCCCAGCAAGATACAGCAGAGTGGCTCGTCCACTTCGGCCGGTGCTGCGGCGGTGGCAGCGGCGGCAGCGGCGGGATGGATGGGGCTGGCCAGCAGGAACCACGCGGCCCGGGGAAGTCCGAGTCGCAGCTGCAGCGCCAGTGGCAGCGGTAGTGGCAGCGGCAGTGAGGACGAGTCTCGGCATGGCCTGCAGGGCCGCCCGCCGTCCGGCTCGGCTTCGACCTGGCGACCCTGGTAGTGCCGGTAGTGCCCTTGTGTCCCCTGTCCCTGGGGTGCTACGGGCACGGTACCGGTAAGGCAAGGTGTGGCCGCCGTCTACTGCCACTGGACACACCCCAGCAGTGATCTCAGTGTGTCCCGTGTGACCAGGCCCCACTAGACCCCACGCCACAGACATTAGCAGTAGCGTTTAGGGATGGACTGAAAAATTAATGCCCTCGTTGACGCAAATACGGGGAGTATTTAGTGGAGCCTCGAGTTCCTGAGAATGTTTGTAGATTGAGATTTCCAATCTCTCATTATGTGATAATATGAAGTTGCAATATCAGTTTCGTTGGCCTGCTGTTCCAACATTGGCATTGTTACTTATAGAACTATCTCAAGTAAGTTCCCTGTTGTTATAAACAATTTATGTACTGTTGGTTTACTTTATTATTATCTTTGACAGATTTGGTTCCATTTTCTATTGTATGACCAAAATTGCTAATCTGTGATAAAATGAGAGCTTTAATTTGGGAAAAATAGGTGTAAGAAGAGTAAAAATTTGTACGTTTTCAAGTTTATTTTAATTTATCTCTGCTCTGAAATGTTGGGTGTATTATGTTCGTGTGCTTCCCTTTTTTGAAAAAGAGGTTGTGTGCAATGTTGGCCCAATCTGTCCCAACTTTTCATGGTTATCATGTGCAAAAGAATATGGAGAAAATAATAAAAACTGTGTCATGATATAATTAATGTTTATTTCTGTACACTTTTCATACAAACAGATATAATAAACTATTACCACTTTTGTAATTAATAACATGCCATACCATTTTACAGTCATATTCATTACCTAACAAAATCACACATTCAGATCAATCACATTAAACCTGGCAGGCAATTGGAAGAAATATGAGAGTTAAAGAAGGCAACGGCATGGTTAGTCCAGCTTGACAGAAAAAACACATGGAATATAAATAAGTTGTAAAATACTTCCTCTCTGACTAGAGAGCATCATGGAGCAATGGATGTCATCGACTCACCTTTGTACAAGTCTTAAAAGTATAATACATTACAAAAATACAATAAAGTAGAACAAGGACATATTAGCAATCACATCAGCCTAGTTATGATAGCTAATCATGAAACAGAGGGAAAGAAAATCTGTAACTTGTAGAATACAGAAATGCTCAAGAATTGTTTCATCAATGAAGCCATAAGATTATAACATCCACCTAATACATTTTGATTAAAGTACCGCACACAAAAACAAATGAAATAGATAAGAAAACCACCAATATGAAGTATTATCGATTCAAAATGAAAGCACTCCTACTGTAACACACTGTATCTGAAATGGATAAGATGTTGAAAAATACAAGCACATTGGTAAAGCTTCCATAACCTTGTAGTGTATTTCTGTGTGCAATCTGGCCACTGCTGTTAAAATCACCATAGTATATTTGGAATTACACTAGCCTTTTTATTTACAACAGAAAGTGAGTGAGTATTAATTATTAAACATAAGTCTTATAAATGATTGGTCTGAAATATTAATAAAAGAGAAGAAAATGAGGTGATAAGAGGGCGAACACAGTTCAATGTTGCAAAGTGAGAAACATCAACAGCTCTATTTACCTACTTAGCACAGATCACTGTGAATGATGACTATCAAAATGAAACTTTAGTCTTGAAAACTTAAAACCTCTAATCTTAAAATACTAAACAAGAGGAAGTTCGTTGTTAAAAAGATTTACAACTTAAAAAATGCACAATGGAAATGCTGGAATCATAATAGTACAGGTAAAGGATATTAAGTACAATAATGAGGATGAAGAAGAGGCAGTTAAACATTAAAATAAATGTGATGCAAAGGTTTGAAAATAGGATAAAACCACAATGGAGGAAGCTGACAATCATTTCTTCAACAAGAAAGATACCATACATAATACTGTGAACCCATTCAGCAGGAGAACAAGGCATGTCTCCATGGCACATCCTAAGAAATGCAAGTGTTCAACACACAGAAGGACATCAGAGAGACTTTATAAAATTAAAATAAAAAAATTATGGAATACAAAACTTTTAGTTATTACCACTAGTTAAATGAGCAATTTGTTCAATACAAGCAACACAAGGATATACATTAAAAGTAAGGATGGACAGCCAAGAGATAATATTACTTAACGGGAAGCTATGACAAAGGTACATCAACAAGAAACCAGACTTCAATCATGACCCAAGAAGAGAGTGCTAATGGAAGTTTAATGTAAAATTTAACAAATTCACAGCACCATTAGTGCTTTGTGCATATTCGACACTTTTATTTAACTGAATCAGACCATGAAAGCAACAGTACGCCTTAAGTGGGATACAGTTTACAAAATAAAAGTGCACTAACTTAGTTGTTTTTCTTGGAATACAGTTGTGCCTCTGTGAGTTACTTTCACCAACATATTAAGTGCATTGTGACATGACCCATACCCAATCAGAGGAAACCAGATTGTTGACTGATAACTGGGATGAAATTGCAGTTCATTGGTAGAATTGAAAACAATTCTGTGCTCAGAGAATTTTCTATTTAAACCAGTAGTCCAGCTTCTAAAGTAGTTAAAAATATTGATAAGCCCTCATCTGGATGCCAGATTATTTTTATTATTACTATTATTATTACAAGGAGCCTGAAGATAATTAGTTAAATGGAAGATACTTCAGGAAAATGTTACAACAAGAAAGATTGTTTAACTACAATAAACAAATAGAAAATGAAAAGTAGGCAGGTACAAGAATGCAGTCATTAACTCTGTATAGTGTTAATCAAACCGTTTCAAAAGTCTCATGGAAACGAATTAAAAAGTTGAGCAGCACAAAGAAAACTAACACAGAAGCATAAACAAGCTCCCTTAAGGTGGTCTTACGATGCGTGTCCGCCCATGTCCAACATCCCAATACTGACGTGTTTCTTGAGAAAAGTTCGCATGGTTTGAAATGGTAAAAAATAGTAATTTACATCAAATTTCTGTTACATTTGGTTCAAATAGTGCCAATAATCGGAGGACGGACATGGCCGGACACTCATTGCAAGGCCACCTATAGCCTCAGATAACAATTTAAAAAATTATATGAACGGCCAAAAAGAGCAGGAAATGTCATATGATTTAGAATACGGGCAAAATTAACATTAAATGGCAATGATTGGCTTCCAAACATGGCCAACCATGCTCTGCAACTTAATCAAACAAGTTACAGTAATGAGTTACTTAGACCTCAGACAAGACAGATTTTGTGCAAGAACTGCTTAGGTAGTCAAACAATGAGACAGAGTAATACCCCTTCATGTCAATACCATTGAGGAAGACACAGCACATTTGTCACATAGAAAAGGGAAGCACTCGTGCACTGTTCTATGTTTTTGACGGTCAAGCCTTTGCAGTTGAGAATGTATGTGAAATGTTTGCTGGTAATAGTATAAGCTCGATTTAGCGTTTGTGACAGATGCTTCAAAAATTCCAACGCTATATGCGGGATTCATTACATGCGGCGGCCGATTAATGACGTTTTCCGCATTGGGGTAACGCATTTGGAACGCTATAAGCGGGATAACGTTATATCGGGCAACGCTAAATCGAGATTATACTTGTACAGAAACTAGCATGCCACAGATCAATAAACAGCCAACAGATGAGTGTCACACAATTCCCTCTGTATAAATAATCATGTATTCAAATTCATTTGGTTGAGAATAATATTTCCCAACAATCAGTGATGGAATGTTTGAAAATCAGACAGAAAGGTTTTAAAGGAATCTTGCAATCTTTATAGTACTTCATTAGTGCAAATAGTAATACAGTAAAAAGATACTGATGCTAACATGACCTGACCTAAGTCAAAAGCTTTGTTCTACATTTCAGAATTGAATGATCTGACAAGCAAGCAGTTGTCTTCAGGAGTTTGACACCCACTAAACAAATTGATGTTCAGAAATATTTTCTCACGTCAAATATCATCAGAAAGGGTATGATATGTAACATAGAGTAAACACATCTCCGAGACAAAAAATCTTTGGTGTCAAATCAAACAGATATAATCGAACATCTTATCACACATTCTTACACACAATATTCCGGTGTAAAAAAGCGAGTTATTCCAAGCATACACAACGCAACCAGATAGCACATGCTGCACAGCTAGGGCAACATTCATTCATTCATTCATTTGTGCAAGCACTTTTCTAGTACTCCTTAGAAAAATTTCGCTGTTTTTGCACAGTCATTCAGAGTAAGAACACAATTATGAGCTTCATCACTAAAAGTAAATGCAGTCCCCTGCCCAGTAAAACACCTTCAAATTGGAACTTTTAGAACTGTCTAAATTGGGGCCATACACAAGAATGAACATCTACAAAAGGAAATTAAGATATAGTTTTACACAGATGAAGTGACAAGTGTATTTAAAGGTCACGCACAAAGAAGATAAGAGGGGTAATCCTATACACTTAAGACAGGGCAAGTTCCAATATTGATGTTACAATTTTGTCACTAAATTTGATCTACACATAAATAATAACACACATGGCATCGATCTATCGCTAACATGGATCACTGGAACCACTCATAAAAGCTTTTGAATAAAACTGACTTTAAACTACAACACAGATAATGCTTCTTTCAATTTAAAGAAAAAGAAATGACATACACAATTATAAATGCTTTAAGATTATAACATACTCCACAAATGCTGCTGAGCTAAAACAACTAACTTTAACATCATAAATATCTAAATTTAAAAAATATATATCTTAAAAATTACAATCATTTCTGTCTTGGCAGCATATTTGCATAAGGACTATTTCTTTCTGAATCTATATGAAACTGTCAACTTAAGGAGTTCAACAATGTTTATTATTTAAAGAACAAATGAAAACACCCACAAACAAGCCATTAAAATATGGAAAGAAAAACACATACAGCTCCACTTGTCCAGCAGGGGGAGCTCAATTAAGCGTATCATACCATGATAGGATCCTCATCGCAATCATTGGAAGATGAATAAAGGGAGGTGACACTTAAATGGGACGAAGTTGGTTTAGAAGTTCCATCAGGCAAGAATTGACGAGGACCATGTTCTTCTTCAGTTCGAGACAGTAGACGTCTATGATGCCGACTTCCTACAGAATGAGCTAAAATTGAGGAAGTAAGTGTCATTATACTAGATAAGGAAAGTAATCCAGCCTTGGCAAGGAACCACATCCTTTGTGCCTTACCTTCACTCTCCATTTCAGCAGCATCATCAAGACTGCCATCATCCATATCTGTGGAGAGCAAATCATCATCTGAGGAAGCTCTAGTAAGACTAGGCAAAGCTGATGTGAGCAAAGCTTTCTCTTTCTCCATTTCCTGAATATGACCAACAAGCATAGCCTCTTCATCATGAGTCTGGGTTCTTTCTGATGCACACATTTCAACAGCCAAAAGCTCCTCTGGGCTGAAAATCTGGAGACAAGAGAGAAAAATGGTGAAATATCTGCTCCACAACAATAAGCATTCAATTCCGTAGCTGTATTTACTTCCAAACTGAAAATGTAGCTTGATCTTGTTCAATGACCCACCTTAGAGCTACGCAAAGAGGATAATCTGTGTGTCGCTGTGTGGCATGCTTCGTCTAGAGTGTCAATATCAGCAAGAGTTGATCGCACTTTCCTTAACTGCTCGGATATGATTGTTTCAATGCACTGAGTTTGACGGCTAATATCAGTAAGAGAATCTTGAGCAGGAACAATTTTGTTTGTTCTAAGTACACATGGAGCAAACACAATTGCAAGGGCACTAGGACTCATTCTGTTTGCATCCTCATGTTGAGCAACACTGAAAGCAAAAGCACAACAAATATGAAAAATATCAGCACACTGTCAGTGACATTTTTTTCAAAATAAGAATATGTAAGCGTTCAAGGAAATGAATGACAGTGAGATCTTACCGAGCTAAGTGGAAAATTAATCTCTCCATCAGATCAAAATTTGGCTTTGGTAGTTTTTTAAGAATAGCAAATAAAGTTGAAACTCTATCTGCAGGTTCAGTAAGCATTGCAGCTCGTATGAAGTCATCATAACAATCAAAGGTAAGAAGTGGCTCTGGCATCTCGCGCAAAAAGCATTTCAAAACTGATGCAAGTACATGCACAGGATAAGTTTCAAAGTCCACGGGATCATTTTGCTGCCCTGAACCATCAAATGATCCGCTTGCCTCAAGACGAGATTTCAGTTCACGAACTTTCGATGTAACCTGTAACCAAAAAAAAAAAATACTGACATAAAAAGCACCAATTCATGTAAAATTGAACTGTGGTAACATAGCAAAAAACAAAGGAATACATACACCTGACTTTCGATAAATTCCTTCAGTGTAAAGTCCATACATTTCAATAGTAGTGATGAGCCTATCTACAACAATTGGAACTTTGATATCTCCAACAACCAATTGATGTAAAGGCATTCCAAAAACTTTGTGGGTGCCGTCAGAGGCGCCAGAACCCATTGCTTCTTTGCCACAGTCTGAGCTGACTTTGAGATAACATTTCTTGTGACAAGTAAGCTTGCAATCTAGACACAGAATACAAGATATAAGGAAACGTGGACTCAAAATACGTAGTTCAAAATCTAACTAATAGGTACGTACTCTGGCAGACAAGTCCTCGCTCAATTGGCCACATGAAGAAAGAACTGCAAACTTCACAAGCAGTTGGAATATTAATGATAGTAAGCATGAAGGTATGTCCTCCATGTCTGACTGGGTCATCTCCTCTCCTCTTCTTGTCTTTGTCCTTTTCCTTTTTGCGCTTCCTGCCAGGCTTCTCCTTGTCGCTCTCCACTCGAGTCAAGTGCATGAACTCATTCATAAAGCCCCGGAAAGCATTAACACCCATAGTTACTGGAAAATCCTCACGTGTGTTCTCTTGATGACAGACAGTTTCCATTACCTAAAACAAATGTAAAGGAAAATAAAAAGAAGCAAATAAAAAGAAAATAGAAAAAAAGTTTGCAGATCAGTCAGAGAGAAACTTACATGCATGAAGTTTGCAATTAAGTCTTTATATTTAATATTCAAAGTTTCAGGGCCTTGCTTGTTTAGAACACTGTAAGTGGCAACTAAGTTGTCCTTAAACTCCTTCAATGCTTGTTTGAAAACTCTGTCAACTCGACTGGGTTTCTGACCTTCTAAGCTCTCCATTTTGTAAATCTGCAAGAAAAAGAAGTTAGAAATCTAAAATCTGGACACAGCTTCCATAAAATGTTCCTGATAGCTGTTACCTTTTTAGTGATAAAGTCATGCATAAGTTGAAGCTCCTTGGCATCAGAAATAATTTTATCCTGGCTGTCAGTGAATTGGGATGTGCCGGTGAGAGAGAAACGGCTCTCCACAACTGCCTTGGTCTCTGAGGGAGTCCTTGCATTTTTGCGAGGCTTCCTTCTATTTGGTTTCACACCAGCTCCTTGAGGAGGGGGAGAGGGACAGGGCATTTGCAACACCCCACCATTCTGAATGCACTTGGTGTGAAAAATTTGTTTACAATCTGAACACCAAAGAAACAGAAAGAAAAATTTTAGATGACAAGCAAAAATTGATTAAAATTAAAATGTGCATTCCTGTACCATACCAGAACATTTATGGCCTTGAGTAACAAAGGCATCCATAGGAGAAGAGCAGAAAACACAGCGGTCGTCTTTGGTAAATCTTGTTATTTTGCGGAAGCTGTGGTTTGCAATAGTAAACATTGTTGTGCCTTTCCATTCCAAGAGATCAGATGATTGGTGAGTTTTTGGTGGGCCCTGAAACATTTTTCAAATTATAATTACTGTATAATTTTAACTGTTGGTAAGAGCAAACAATAAATTAATGACAAATTACCTGAGGACTTCCAACTTGATTAGCTGGATCACTATTTCTCCTTTTCAGATCCAACAAAGCAAAACTTGGCTGAGAGTGTGCTGCTCCAGAGCTACGATTTCGTTTCGCAGCCAAACCAGTAACCTGTGGCCCTACAGAAGGTGCCAACATAGGAGATCCAGCATCAACACTGGATTCCAAAAGTTCTCTAGCCTTGGGTGGCCACACTGTCACTTTGGAAGCAGTGGCTTCCACTAGAGGACCAGGCACATCTAAGGAGTTTAAAGTTAATTATCATGTGACTTGTAGAATACTTTTGAGTGTCTCTAGAATAGGAGATATTTACCATTGGCTTTGTGTCGCCCATCCGTGTACTCTTCACCCATGCTGCGACAAATGATATCTCGTCGCCTTGCCATGCGTGCTGGTACTTCTGGTTCTCGGTCATGTTTGAAGTCTCCATTACCCCCATTTGCATCCCTTAAAGCTCTCCTCTGCCAAGCTCTTGGATTCAAGTCACCGACTTCTTGTCTACCAGTCACAGGCTGGAAGAAGGAAAAGTGACCATTATCAACAACTTACTGTGGGTAATGAGAATGCTATTCACAGATAGCCAAAGCAAGTACTTTTGTAATAATATTGAGAGACTCTTACCAAAGCTGAAGCTTGAGTAACAGGAGAATGACGTCCAAAGTGGGTATGAGTGTGTGTTTGAGTAACATGAGGCTGTCGAGAAATAGGCTGGTGTGCAGTTCGTCTCTTCCAAATACTGGGAACTTCACTGTGGTTTTCTTCACCTTCACTGTCACTGTGGGGCAAATTGGTGCTACTCTCGGACTTCTTGCCCACACCTGCAAATATAACCATCAGGGTAAAAATGAGGCTTATAATGGGAAATCAAACTGTCATTAAAATTCCACAAGACCCACCCATTAGTGCTTGAATTTGTTTCTTTGCAACATGTAAAGTATCTCGAACAGTGGTACTTGACTGAGAATCACTGCTTCTTTGTGATGTAAGTGAGTCACAGCTTCCTTTCCTTTCCGATTGGGCTGTAAATAAATCAGAAGCTGGTAAGATAAGATATTCAATCAATCAATCAATCAATCACGCAACCCCTCTCTTTGCATCTTGCGGAGCCCTGCATTAAAGAGCAAATTAATGACCAAAAGAGAACTTCAATCAAACAACGTACCAGCATACGAACCACTATCGAAAAATGAATCAGTCTTCATTCTCAGCTTTTGTTTCTGAGCCACTTTTCTCTTAGAGTATTTCAAGTCAAATCCTACACCATCATCCTTAGAACTAATTGATCTATCAAAGAATAAAAACAATAAAATTTAATAAAATTTAAAATTCAGTAAAGCAAGAAAACTAAAAATCAGACAGCCTCCAAACCTTTTATCCTGAGTTACAGCCTGAAGTAAGGGTTCTGAGTGATCAGTGCGTAAATGTCTGGTTGGTTTAAAATGTCTTCTGAGAGATTCAGTGGCAACAGAATCAAGATCACTGTCATCATAGAAAACAGCACTGAAACAAGGAAACAACTTCATTAATGTGCCCAGGAGAAAAAATAAAGAGGGCTATTTTGAAAACGGTCTTCAACTAACACATACCTTCCCTGTTCTTCTTGACTTGATTCTTTGGACAACTGGCGGCTATTCTGTACAGCATGAAATCTTTGGCGAACAATGTAGCCTCTAGCATGTGCCTGGAAACTAAGTAGGCTACTCTTCAGGCGGCGGAACCAAACGAGAGTTTGGTATGAACGCCACTGTTTCTGTATAACTGTAGCAGCAGTTGTGTACCGCTTGTGCAACACATCGCGATTAGAGAGGTAAAGACGCCAAGCAGATTGTATTGTCACCACGGCTTCTTTAATTCTTAAGAATTTCCTTCTCTCAAGGATTCCTCGATACCACCTCTGAATGCAAGTGATATTCGATATGATTTGACGATGTAATCTGAAGTCAAGCTTCTGTTTCTCACACTCTCTGAGAAACATTTTGCTTTCACCAATCTGATAGTTGTCACGGTTCAGATTAAGAGTAAGCAGAAAGTTCCGAACATCAACATGAGAACTTTTTAATCCTCTTGGCAGCAGTATGCGATACAGTTGAATGAATTCATCATAGGTGAGTCTGACATTGTAGCCAGCTTGTCTTATTCGAACTGTTTCGAGCATTCCAGTATATCTGAGCTGACGTTGCACAGTCTCTTCATCAAACTTATTGGGCACCTGGGCAAGAAAATTTGTGAGCTTTAGCAGGTAGAAAAAGATATGGTACACAAGTTTCCTAACTTCATAGTCTCATTTACGCACCTTGTCACCATTGCTTTTAATACACCTTATAAAGAAAGGATTTGCTTGATTTAAAGTATCCATTAAAGAGTGAAGAGATTGTTGAAATTGAGCTGTGACTGTCATTGGTTGCTTCCGAGCCTTGCCAGGCTGCTGAGAATAGCTTTGAGTGCGACCAGCAAGTGTTTTTACAGTCTGTAGATTTTTCAACCCCTTCTTCCCTCGTTCCCGAGGCCTAAATGACTTGTTTTTCCTGAACAGATATACATAAAAAATAAGTGACAATAAGCACAGATTGAGGATAAGAAGGCTACAACATTATTCTAATGTCCTGTAAAATTCCAAAGAGACAAAGGATTTACCAATAATAAATAAAAAAGCAGCAAAAGGCAAGAAAATTAGGCACAATGTACAATTTGCTAGTTTTCACACAATCATGTTTAAAGGTCACACTAAAGGAAAAATATGAGAACAAAAATGTTAAAATTGACATCTTTCCCAATCTACAAAGCCAGAGGAGAGCAAAGAGTATAATGATAAAAGTAAATAAAAATACAGTAACTTTAAGAATGAGAAACTAAATAAAATTTTCTACCTAAGCAGATTAACAAACCGCTGTTTTGGTGTGTTAAATGTCTGAACATTTGTAACTTTCATTTGAGTAAGAGATAGCAGGAAATCGGGATACAAAAACCATCACCAGAAGTATCACCAACAACGCTATTATTTTTCCCTCTCGATCCACCACCATGGTTGAAGGGCCCTTTTGAAAGCAGGTGCATGTTACTTTGGGCCAGTGTTGACAGAAGTTTTTGTACATTTCAAGTTTTTAAAACCTCAACCATCTCCAAAATAAATGAGTTGTACATACATGACAATCTGGTTGGCTCGATTCATTACTTCTGCATCATCAGGACATAAACATTTGGAAGATGGTATCCATTTCGAATCATTCTCTTTGCTGCTAGAGAGAGAGGACTTTGACTCTTTGTTTGCATTGGTTTTTCCATCATCACTGTGAGGAGGCAATTGGGGCCAAGATAGACGATGGTTGCGGTTGTTGGGACTATGTTGGTTCAGTGCCCTATGGTCACTTGTGACACTTGCCACTTTTTTGTGACTAATGGAACGCTGTATGTAGCCTCCATCTTTCTCAAGCTCCTGGTTGTATTTACTCTTGGCGCGATAGCTGCAAAAACCCAATCTTATTGAAGCACAAAAGCTAAAAGACATGCCAACCTACACAAACAGGCTCAAATATGGCACTTTGCCTATTGAAGCAAACAGCAAACACAACAGGACTGCCAATGCTTTAGTTTAGACTTGGTTTCTATCTAGAGTAAGCCCTAAATGGTTGTTTGTTTCCCCAATGTGGAATAGCCAGATTTCTATCTTCATACAAGTTTTCCTACAAATACTCAGCACAGCAAAACAACACATGCGTTCATGCTATCTAGGATTATGTTCAGGGTGCTGCGACCACTTACGCTATCCTGTTAATTGTGAGGTTCACAGCAGACACTGTCACTAGATGGCTACAACAGAACAAATGGACCATCACATACTGAATATGGAATAACCCTGAATACCCGCAACAAATCAGCAATGATTTAGGTTCTCTTTTTTTTCTTTCTTCAATTAAACTTTGATCAGGGCAGTACATTGACTTGAAAGATTAAACTGAATACTTTGTACTGCCTTCTATTTGACTGGATTATTTTTTAAAATTTTTCTTCCTTTCTTTCTTATGATAACATGTGCACCCAAGTCTAGCACAGCCATTTCCCATCAAAACCAAGATTCTCCACAGATCACATTTGAACAAACATATGTGTAATGATATAAACAATTCTCCCAGATCAGATCATAAATAAACCACAAAGTTAAGACAAACTTGAGTTAAATGAGAGGAAGGAGAAAAATCTTCCATCCTTTCTCCTGTGTCATAACAATATCCAATGCATAACAAACATGCAATTAGATTCCGTGCCCAAAACAAGGCAATGGTAAGGCTTCACCAAAATATACTCACCTAATAATGTTCTCATTAGGAGTGTGATTGCGACACCTTAGATGAACATAGCTTGATTTACTTCCATCTGCTGGTAATACAGAATAAAATAGTCAGTTATCACTTCTTGAACAATAGGGTATAATCAACAGGGTAAATTAATTTTCCATACCTCTTTCCTGTCTATGTCTTTTTCCAGCCTCATGAAATGCAAAAAATCCTCTAAAGAAAGCTCGGACTATTGCCCAACGGAAGACAGCAACAGGGTCAGCTCCTACTAATTCCCGGACAAAAGCCATGCTACTATTTTTCAGGACTCCAACAATATCTTGTCTCATCAAATCCAAATTTTTTTCCCGCATTTCAGAAGCCTGAAAAAATATTATACTCATTACGATAAAATGAGCAATAGAGTTGTAGGAAGTTACAAGCAAGAAGCCAGTTCATAGACCTTACCTGATATTTTACTTTTCCTGCATAATGCCGTATAATGAATGCAGCTTCCCATTTTTGGGGCACCTCATAAAAATTGTTCTCTCTATGCACAGAATGGAATTTCTGGAGTAAAGTCTCATTGGTAGCTCCAGGAAAACTGGAATAAAAAAACAAATTAATTTAAAATTGCAATTTAGAAGACTGAAGAAGGCAGGGATCACCAGTCAAAATATTTTCACTTACTTGCACTGGTCGTCAAGAACACACAAAAGACCTGATGGCTTGCCCTCAATCAACTGCAGACATCCTGTATTGTCCATGAAATCTATGTCCGTCCAATAAATACCTTCCTTTCGGTATTCCTCTTGTTCATATTTAAAAACATGCTGGTTGAAGTAGTATTGCAAATGTTCATTTGCATAGTTGATGCAAAACTGTTCAAAGCTGAAAAGGTTTAAAAATAAAAATAGATAGAAAGATAACTCTAGAGCATCCATAAAGTACAAAGCAACTGATGCAACAGAAGGCAAGTAAAAGTACCTGTTACAGAGACCAAAATCTTCAAACCCAAAAATGTCCAATACACCTATTGAGTTTCCCTGATGGTCTCTCAATGTGTCTTTTTTGGAGAGGAGAGCATGATTGACTTGGAGTACAATCCAGTCGAAAAGGGCACCATACAAGCACTTGGCAATTGCATCACGAGCTGCTATAGCTTCTGGCAATCTATAATTGATAATGAGAGTTTCCCCTGATGCACGTGCCCTTTTAGCTGTTAAAGCAGCAAGAAGTGTTTCTTGTTTCACTCTCAGTAACTCAGAGATGAGTCTGACAACATCTGGGTTTCGAACAGCGACAGATTCATCATGATGATAGGCAGATTTCCTTGGCTGGAATTCAACATTCCCTGAAAAAGGGTATTAATGGATTGGGTTGTAAAAACTTGAAAAGCTTATTTAAATGCAATAATTTGAAATTATTGGTCATTTAAATTGAAAACCCAACTTACCAAGGAGTAAAACAGCAGAGAGTACAGCAAACAATCGTCTTTGTTTCTCAAGGGTGAATCCAACCATTTCCATAGATTGACGAAGTCTCGAAAATTCATACTTCTCATCCACATTGTCTAGCGTAAAGCATCCACTCTAAAAGTAGAAAACAAAAGACACATGTTTCAGAAAAATCCCCTTCATAGACTTACAAAGAGATAAATCATGCATTACCCTGTTCAAGTAGTTGTATTGATCAACTCGTTTCAAGTGCAACAACTGCCTCTCTGCTTCAGAGGCACCTGCCAATAAATAGTAGAACACGTGGTAGTTGCGTTCATTTCTACCTTGGGAACATATTCTGGACTTCTCAAGAAGATATTTCTGAACTACCGCTCTGTAAAAGAAAAGTCACTTTCTTAAGATAAGATAGAACTTATCAATATAATACATAAGAGCTGAATTAAGGACAGAAAGGACATACCCATGTACCATCCCATTCTCTTTATAGTTGACCTGAATGAACTTGCCAAAACGACTGGAGTTATTGTTATGAGCCGTTTTAGCATTTCCAAAGGCCTGTGTGCATAAACACATATTGGAATGTGAAAGACAAATACCACTTCATACTCATTATCATAATAATAATAATAATAATAATAATAATAATAATAATGGAAGGTTACACACCTCTAATACAGGACCGGCACTGAGAATAGTCTGCTCTACACCACTACCATGGCTCCCTTTCTGACTCAGAGCAGTAAGATGGTGTAAAAGAAAATTAGTGCTTTCTGTTTTACCTGAGCCACTTTCTCCACTTATGACAACACATTGATTCCTTCTTTCACGTAACATACAGTGATAAGCAGCATCAGCAACAGCAAATATATGGGGTGGAAATTCAGTGCCTAATCTCCGGTTCTGATACAGCTTTACATATTTAGGATTGTAGATAGGATAAAACTATGAAAACATAAGAAAAATTATACAAATTAAAAGATAAAAAACACTCCTAAAACTGCTCAAAGGCAAAAAAAATATGCAAAAATAATAAAATGAGATAAACAAATACACACCTTAAATGGATTCACTGCAATAAGAATGGAACCAACATAGGTGTAAATATGGCCTGCAGAAAATCTAGCACGTAGATTGTCCAGAAGTGTTTGTTCATTAAGATCAGGCAGTTGGCAGAGATCAGGATACTCCCGATCATCAGGCTGATAAAGAAAACGTTGAAAGTAATCCTTAATCAGCTGTGGATCCACAGAAAATGAATTTTCCCACAGAGCTTCATTGATCTTCTCCCGCAAACAGAACCTGTTCAAACAGTTAAAACATTTAGAAATATGTTGTAAACAATGGCTATCTATGATCAATAATACAAATCATTACCTGTAGCATTGATGATTATCCGACTCCTTTGGCCACAGAAGCATGAGAGCCACTGGGCTCTCTGTTGGCCCCAGGCGGCGTTCTTTGCATTCTTGTCCCAACTTATCACCTACTACTTCAGCAAGCTCATAGTTAAGGGCTGACTCGGCCAATGAAAGCCTCTCCACAATACATGACACAATTTCATCTGATGTGGTCTGCTTGCTTGCTTCAACTGATAGTGCTTCATAGTGCTGTGAGAGGGAGCCTACGAACACCTGCACTATGTAGCGGTTGCTTCCCAGTGCAGCCATTTCCACTACATTAGAAGGACACAGCGAGCATAGAGCCGCTGTGAAATATTTCTGTTTTCTTGGTAAGCAGAGAGATTTTAGTGTGGATGTAGAGCTCAACACTAAAAGCCATTTTAATTAGCTATGGTAAATAGCATCTGCATTTGGCATTTAAAAAAGGGACACTTAATCAAGAGGTTTGGCAAAAGAAAACCTTTGTGCATGAAACAAATTCTTCCAGATTGTGAAAATTAATGGAATGTTGATGATTTGACAGTTTTCTTGAACACAGCTACAGGGAAGTCAGTTTTTCAGAAAGTGGTCTGCAACAAACAAACAAATTTGTGTATCAGCTCACCTCCAGCAATGCATCAATAAAGTTGACTGAAGACTAATAGGTTTAAAGACAAGAAACTGGCAGAAAAATTTGCATATAAAAAATCAGGGAATCCACTTAAGCCAGAAAAACAATTTGTTGGATGGTTAACCTATGTAAAAGGCATCTATACATTATAGTCAACCACCAACATATTTTTTCACAATTTAAGGTTTGAACAGGCGAAGGGCAGTTGGTTAAGGTGGAACAGACTATGCAGTGTCCACTCGTAAATGAAATAAATAGAGTGAGATCGCCAGAATAGCCTATGCAACAATTAAATCACATCCAAACTGGGTCACATGTGTCAACATTCAAGTAGGTTAATGGCAATAATAACTGTATATGAGTGCCTCGGATGAAGTGATAACAGACAATATCTCGGGCGTCAAAGTTTAAAAACACAACACACCCTCCTCTCATGTCTGAGTCACGACGCAAAACGAAAACATGACAACCTTTCGACAGGTTCTTGGTAGTAGGCCTAGCCTACTGCCACCGATATGTCTCGAGCCGTAGCCGTGTGTTAAAACGAACAAATCCTCACTTGTATCACATAGTTTCTTCGTTGTAGTTATTGGCGTCTATAAAGGAACACTTTTCAGGTACTATCCACGGAATGAGAAATCACAGAAATGCCGTTGTGATGGCCAATATCTAAAAATACTTCACGTAAATTGTTCCACTCTGGTTAGGTCGCACGTCCACTGCCTTCGAAATATTTCAAAACACGAACTGTAGCCTCCGCCCTCGCCCTTAGGCAGAGAGAAACACGGAAACGGAGATAATTTCCAATGCGCCCGCTTCACTACGACTTTTTTGAATCAGGCAAGTCGGCTCCCGTCGACTCCAGCACCGGACTCCCTCAAACATGGATTAATTAATGCATTATGGGACATAGAGAATAACAGGAAAAGGTATAAATACAATAAGACACAAATTTAATGCAGCAGTTTTCTTTTTCTCGTTTATTGTTACAAAAGAAATTATTTCAAAACAACTTTTGATGGCAAAGCTCATTCCCCCCAAATAGTCTATCTACAAATATTAATATTGATAAATACGATGTCACAAATAAATTAATTCATGAAACCAACAATCAGTACTCTCAACCAAGTTTACATTTAAGAGTTTCGCCATTGGCCAATTTGCCCACAAGACTGAATTTGTCAGTCTTCAATACAGTTTTTACATACTGATTCACAACAGATTTCATCAATTCAGGTGTAACCTGATCATTGAATACCACAGTGTACACTTTATTTCTGAACTCAACATTAACAAATTGGAAGTTTGGAGTGGAAGGTACATAATTAGGCAATTTATTAGCAGGTGAAACAGTCAAGACCTTCTTGTTGAGGGTCAGAACTTCAACTGCACTGGACACAACAATTCCATCAACAGAAACATCAAAACAAATGCCATTAAGACCAAATAGTTTCTCAATTTGTGAACACAATCCAGTGAAGCTTAATGCATTTTCTTGAACAGGATTTTCCAACAGTATTACACCCCAACTCTGAGCGCCCAATCTTGGCTGCAGATCATCACTCAGCTGTACCTTCACATACCTGAAATCATGAGATCAAACGTTAACAGGACATGAAAAAACCTTGCAATTAAAAGAACTGAAATGAAAAAGTGCACAAACCGGCAAGGAGGCTGCAACTGTTCCACAACAGGTGTGTCACTCCCAGCATAGCCAGGAGCAAAGCCCTTGACAGCCACGAGTGATAAATCCGTATCCTTGATTTTGCTTGTTTCTTCCATAATTATTACTGCATTTCCAGGCTTAGAAGAAATTGGTCTAATGGGGCCTTTAACAGCAGTTTCAATGTATTCCTTGTAGCTCTGCAAGACATTTTTCACAACTCCATCTGCAGAAACTTTGTAGTACATTGTCACAGGATCTAATGGCATCAGTTGAGCTTTCTTGCGCAACTTCTGCACTCGATTTATGACTTCGCGAGCAAATCCTTCTTCCAACATCTCATCATTTTGAGTGATATCCAGCAACAGCAAAACATCATTGTCAGAATGTGCTTCGTAGCGTTCTGAAAGCTCCTGGGCAGCTGGTCCAGTGAAGCTGAACATGATACGAATGTCATCTTTCTCAATAAGATTGCCACAGAGCTCCATTTGTCCATCAGCCAAAAACTTCTGCAGCTGAGCATCAGAAAGACCCTTGATTTCCTTGGTGACAGCCTTGAACTCTCCTTTCAGACGAGCTCCAAGTGACTTATGGTCAGGCTCACCACGTAGGGCAACACCATACTTCTTTTTGTCAGAAGTCAGGACCATTTTCCTCACATTCAACTCTTCCAAAATATAATGTTCCAGCTCTTTCACTTCAGCAAGGAAGGAGGCATCCTGATGAATGACGACAACTTCTGACAGTGGATATTTGATAGGTAGGGTTCTACGATCACGAATCACTCTACCAAGTTCAATAATGGTCTGCATATGCAAAACTGCAGACTCAATTTTCTTGTCAATCAAGTTTGGATTAGGAGTAGGCAACATAAGATAATGGACACTTTCAGCCTTATCGTTTTTGTTTAGGTGGCGCAGATTTTGATACATCAGCTCACTTAAGAAAGGTGTGAAAGGAGCCATGATACGGACCATTGAGAACAACACACTGTACAGTGTTTCCAATCCACGACAGCAATCGTCAACTCCACCATCACCCTTCAGCCTCCTTCTGTTCATACGAACATACCAGTTGGTAAGATTATCAATAAAAGCAACTAACTTTGGTACAACAGTGTAAAGCCGATAGGCATCCATTTCCTTTTTAACAAACAGAAGTAGTGATTGAGTGAAGGACAATATCCAACAATCCATTACATTTGTTGAAAGTTGACAGCTTTTTTCATCAAATTGGAAAGATACATTGTCTTCTTGTTCCAGTCGAATTATGTTCTGAGATAAGAAACGGTAAGCATTGTACCAGGGTAGGAATAAATCTTTCAGGATGTTTTTGACACCTTCTTCCTTGAATCTAAGATTTTCAGCCCGTACTACTGGGGAGTTGATGAGATAAAGCCGCAGAGCATCTGCTCCATATTTACTTACAACTTCAAGAGGATCAGGGTAGTTCTTTTTTCGCTTGGACATCTTCTGGCCATCAGAAGCCAACACAAGTCCATTTGCAATAAGATTCTTGAAGGGAGGCTTTCCGAACAGAGCAGTTGAAATCACCAGTAACGTGTAGAACCAACCTCTTGTTTGATCGATGCCTTCAGCAATAAAATCAGCAGGGAAGCATTTTTCAAATTCTTTGCTGTTCTCAAAAGGGAAGTGGGCTTGGGCATAAGGCATTGAACCTGATTCAAACCAACAATCAAAAACTTCTGGAATTCTTCTAAGAGGTTTGCATCCTGGACGAGAAGATGGGATCTCAAGATTGTCCACACTTTCCCTGTGGAGGTCTGTGATTTTTTGACCAGTCAAACTCTCAAGCTCTGCAATGCTTTCAACACACACAACTTCTTTCCCATCTTCTGAAACCCATAAAGGTATAGGTGTGCCCCAGTACCTGTTCCTGCTGATGGCCCAGTCTCGAGCGTCACGCAGCCAATTACCAAAGCGTTTCTCCTTAACAAAATCGGGCACCCAGTAAGTCTGTTTGCTGCTTTCCAAGAGTGTTTCATTCATGTGCTGAACACGCACAAACCAAGAAGGAACAACCCTATAAATGAGAGGTGTGTCTGACCTCCAACAGAATGGGTAGTTGTGCTTAATTGTTGAATTGAGGTAAAGTCGTCCAGCTTCTTTTAAATGCTTGATGATGTGCTTGTCAGCATCTTTGATGTACATACCCTTGAAGTCAGTGACTGGATCAACAAAGCAGCCTTTAGCATCCAAGGGACAAATAATATCATCATCCCGAGAGAACATGCCATTCTGAACGCATACGCGGTAATCGTCTTCACCAAAGAATGGAGCACACTGTACTACTCCTGTACCAGAGTCATCAGTGACATAAGGATCAGCAAAAACAGTAAATGCTCCTTTACTTTCCATTTCAGGGAAGAAAGGAAAGAGGGGAACATATCGTTTACCCTTCAATGTAGCTCCAAGGAATTTATCCAAAACAGTGAAGTCATCTTGGCTCTTAAAAACACTTTCAAGCCGCTTCTCCAAGAGAACAAAAACTCTGCCAGAAGAGTTTTCTTTAACTTTTACATACTGCATATCAGGATTTACGATGAGTGCAAAGTTGCTTGGTAGAGTCCATGGAGTGGTGGTCCAAGCCAATAACTCAACAGATTCATCTCGCAGCTGAAAAGCTACAGTAATGGAGGGGTCATTTACATCTTTGTAATTCTGACCACATTCAAAATTTGATAAAGGCGTATTGCAGGCAGTTGAGTAAGGCATGACTTTGACTCCTCTGTACACTAATCCTTTGTTGTATAGTTGTTTGAATACCCACCAAACTGATTCCATGAACCATGGGTACAAGGTCTTGTAATCATTTTTGAAGTCAATCCAACGGCCAAGTCTGGTTATTACCATTTCCCACTCAGTTGAATACCGCATAACAATCTTTCGACACTCGGCATTGTAGGCAGGAATACCCATTTTGGCTACATCATCTGGTCCTTTGATGTCCAGCATTTTATCAATTTCAAACTCAACTGGAAGGCCATGGCAATCCCACCCAAATCTTCTTTCAACATGGAAGCCACTCTGGTGGGCAAATCGAGTAACAATATCTTTGATGGTTCCAGCTAGGATATGACCATAGTGGGGAAGTCCTGTAGCAAACGGTGGTCCATCATAGAAGGTGAATCTTTCTTTCCCTTTCGATTGCTTCAAACATGTCTGGAACGCATCTATCTTCTGCCACAGCTTCAGGACGTTCTCCTCCTCCTTGGCAAAGTTGATAGTTTCGGGCACCGGTGTGTGCGCCATAGTGAAGAGTCTGAAAAATAACAGAATATGCATCAATGAATATCTAAAGAAAAAATTATTGACAGTGAAGTGATTGACACTCAGTATTGAGAGGTGATGCAACACGCATCTTCTGTTGGCACAAGTGCATTCAATGGAAGTGGCATGAATAAGACAGAAAACAAGGATATGCTTTACATTAACTGTAGACTACCTCTAGACGCAGTGGGATTCATTAGAAAGCGTTAATATCAACACTAATAAGTGAGATATCTTAGTGGTTACAAAACAAACAGGAAAATGCAGTAATAAGGGAGAATCAAATTTCTCACAAGCAAAGACTCTAGTGCACAATACCATGAACTTAGCAAAAGTTGCAAATAAAAGCATTCTTATGAAGAAAATTTATCTTCAAGTTTTCATAGCCGACACCGGCTAACAAATGTAACAATGTGAGGTTAATGGTTTCCAGCAGTCATATGGAGTGTAAGATTGTGATCGGATCGGGACAAAAGTCAATGAAACATAAAAATCGAGGGTCAGGTAAAAGCAACAAATGTAAAACATCAGTATACGTACAGTGTCAATATCTGATTTCACGACACAGGGCATGCACACTTCCAGCTAACACATTGCACTTTGCAGTTGCAGACAGGCGAGCATGGCCTGGCTATTCTCCTCCTCCCGTGAGTTTCTGCCTGTTTCTTATGGGCAGCCCTACTCCTCTCTCGGCGGCTCCACTATATATTTGATCTCATGCCATACCCTTGCGGCCGGGTCCCAACCGGGGTCCCGAGCGAGGCTAGCCTAGCCGCTATGAAGAATTTAGCCCCCCCAGCCGTCTTTTGTCTCAGCCGTTGCGTCCTTCCTCAACAGCGCTAGCGTCGCTAGCGCTGTTCTCACAGGATACTTAAAATGTCAAAATATTTGGAGAAATATTGCCGTGAAGTGATGACATGACTATTTCGTACTCAAAATCAAGAGAATAAGTCCAATATCGTAGTGATCTTGCGAAGTTCCGCATGCGTCCGGACGTTACACACAGTCCGCACCTGTGGCTGTGGCGCTGGCGGCGCTGATGGCACCCCCATCCCCCATGTGCT